TATACAATTGAACATGTTCTTATATGAAAAATTCTTCGAAGTGTTTTAAAAAAAAAGAAACAAGTATTTCAATTTAAAAGACACGGCTGACAAAAGAAAGAAGTATTTTAATTTAGAAAAGTCGGTTATCGATGAATCAGATATAACTAGGATTTTAACATTGCCGGTTAAATAAACGAGTTGAGCAGCTAAACACTTAATCGCAGCAATACCATCGGTATCCAGCCTATTATTTTCTAGAACACGGCGAATGTGTAAGTCTCATCGATAGATATTTAATAACATCGATATAGCTGGGTACCATGGTGAACACCGCTGTTCATTCAAGGTCACGCTGTAATAACGGATATCAAGTATTCAGGTACGTAACTACGCCGGTTGTGTGTACATCACTCAGTCACACATTTGCGGGTATGTAACGCTTCTCCCACGCATACATTTGCCGAGTATCCGGCGGGATGCTCGGAGCATTTTAATGTATTCACCCCTCCTAGGAGGAGGAGAATCGGATCGAGCATGCTAATTGCCTGTGGAACAATAGTGGATTCTTCGACGAGTGTGCGATTCCCCGGCCAGGTTGCATCGTACATCGGGAATAATTTCGTTTTATTTCAACCCACGTATATGTATATGTGCGTAACATAAGCGCGTATTCCGATGCTTTTATGAGTCGTTTCGTGCCTACATGTACGATTCAGCCATGACGATCGAATGTTAATGTACTCCCTAAATTCTTTGAAATGGAATCTCACTCCAAAGAGTGAAAATTGAGCCAGTCGTGAAAAAGAGTAGCTCAATGTTCAATCTTTAAGAACGAGATTTACTTTGAAAGTTTTTAAACATACACACGAATCTAAATAAATTCGTTACAAATTACTATTTTATAGATAAAGTATGAATTGTTTGCATGGAGAATGAATGTTAATGCGCAATTATTGTTAATCTACAATTACTTATTGATAGAAGCATCAAAGCATGAAAAAGAGTATAAGAAAAATTTCTTTGAAAATTTTCTTGGAATAATCTTCAAAGAGATAATAACTCTATACTTTTGCAAATTGTAAATAAAAATGTAAAACATAAAATAATATGCGTATGTATTAAAAAAAAATAGTCTTCAATAAAAGTAATAATAAATAATAGTATTTATTTATGTATGAAAATGTAATTATCTCAAAGCCGTTACAGTTGAGATTGCTTCCCCCTCTGCATTTAGTACAGCAGTATTGATTTATCTATTGCGTTATTCTATAATTTGCGACATTAAATATAGTTGTACAATACGAAGAAGAAAGATGTGAAATATATACATGTTTTACAAAACTGCAAAATAATATTTATGTCTAATTATGTCAAAAAATTATTATTTATTATATTTCTCTCCTTATTGCGTAACAGATTATTTTCTCTTTTAAGTTTTTGTAAAAAAATAATTTTATAATGTTATTAAGAAGAAGATAGAAATTATACATTTTGTAGAACTAAATAATTTTTCTATCTAAATATCGTGTCAGTAAAAGTCATTAATCATCGACAAATATTTTCCTTCTCAAATTTTTAATCAATGCATAACAAATTATTTTCTCTACATTTTTCGTATTAAAATAAGCATAAAACTGATGTTAATGTAAAAGTAGGGTAAATATATCATGAATATTGATTTTCATAAAAGTTGATCATAGGTCTTCATGTATAGGGTAGCTACCCTTCACAGACCGTGTGGCCTAACGGATAAGGCGTCGGACTTCGGATCCGAAGATTGCAGGTTCGAATCCTGTCACGGTCGGTATCTTTTTTTCTTTCTTTTTTTCAGAAAAATATAACAAATTGTATAACAACAGATATTGCAAAGTAATGTTTGAAAAACATGCAAAAATAAGTACATGAAGAAAACTGAAAACGGTATGAGTTACTTTAATTATTCAATTAAAAATAGCACGAATTATATTTTATCAAATTAATATATTTGATAATTAATTATATATAAACGTATAATTAATTATGTATCTCTTAAAACAAACGTATATTTTTTTTATAATTACGGAGAGTTCGATTTAAGAATAATATGTAAAAGTAACATTTGCAAATTTAATACTATAATAACTTTGAACTACTGCAATTATTATTTAAAAAATGTAAGTATCTAATAAATTATTAGAAGGAAAATTAGAAAATATAATCAAGGGAGATTATACTAATTGTAAGAGCAATATCGAAATTGATTCAAAAATAAATATATGAGACAAGGTGTAAAAAAAATGTAACATAAGCTTATTTTTAAGCTTAACATATTTCGCAAGCAATAAATTCAAAAACAGGATTTATGATATAAATTCAAAAGAAATATTTTGTAAGCATTTAATTTGCGCATGCGAGAAACATTGTTTAGTTTACAATCAATACTAGAAAAATGCCTATGTCGAACCTGGATTTTCTTTAAATAATTAAATCTTGAATTACTAATATACACTATATATGTACTTGCATATATACCATATTGTCTTTTTAGAACTGCGCACCGAATTGTTTTTCCAGACTATAAACGTAATTAAAACTAGTAATCACGAATTAAATTGATAAGCAATTTAATAATTCGCTACCATTAAGCATCATATTATAAAGATGTTAATATGTTGAAACTGTTAATAAATTTACTGTTTAGTTTATTATTATATTTATATACATATAATAATAAATTCATAATAAACTTCTTTTTTATTTTTCTGCTTTTATGCAGTTATAGTATTATCTATTATAACCCTGGTAAACATTTTTTTCAGAATTTTTCATATAATTTTTCAGAATTTCTATATAATTTTTCAGAATTTTTATATAACTTTATAATTTTCTCACATTTTTTATACGAATTAGAACATGTTTCAGAAAATCTACATCTTTTCTCAGAATTTTCCATACATAATAATTATGAAATATCGTAAGATTTCTAAAATTTTTGTAAGTATAATTTCTGATAAAATGTTATAAAATCTAAAAAATTAAAAAATATTTTTTTAAATTGTGAGATGAAAAATGTCAGAATATTTCAGAATTTACATTTTGATTCAGAATTTACATTTACAAAAATTCTAAGAGAAGATGTAAACTTTCTGAATATTTCTGAGTATTTCTGAAAAATGTTTCAATTTGTATAAAAATTATAAGAAAAATTTTCATCAGAGAATGCTTAGAAACATTCAGTTACTCGCTATTTTCCTCCTCTATTATAATAATTAGTAATAATAATATTTAATATATCAATATTAATATCGCCGAAAATTTAATAATTATTTACTGTCTTTGCTGAAGACAAATGATTTCTTCTTTTAAATATTTTATACAATATTTAAAATATTTAAAATGAAATGTATGCTGCACTACTCACCTCGTCAGTGGCGCTAACGTCGACGCCCTGCAGCAACAGGATCTCGCACACTTCCACGTGACCACCTGCCGCGGCCAGCAATAGAGGCCCCCGGCCATTCTGAAACACGACAGGAATCTTGAATATCTTCGTGCAACTGTGCATGCTCGATAAAACTTATTAATTAAGAGTCGTGCGCTACAAACATTAAAAAATGAATCCCTTTTAGTAACGCCCGATAAAATTTCTTAATCAATTACATTTAATTTCTTTAACATAAATTAACGTTACATAAAAATCTCTTTTTCACAGTCAATTTAATGCACATTTGCTTTCATATAAATAAACTTATAAACTAACTCCTTCAATTTTATATCTGATGTACGCGCACGTACGCGCGCGCGCGCACGCACGCACACACTCACGCACGCACGCACGCACACGCACGCACGCACACACACGCACACATGCGCGCGCGCGCGCGCGCACACACACACAATAAAGTTGTATTTTATATTAATTTTTTCCTACCAAAAATTCATGGAATACTGTCTTTTTAATGATTTATTATTTCGCGATGTTAACTCAAACTCCCATTACTCAAAAGTTAAATTAAAAAGTTGTGTTTATTACTTTAAAATAATTTCACAAAATCACTCGTACGTACATACATTCATGTAAACGAATTATGTATTTATATATTAAAAGTATATCGCATATAAACGAATGTGTTATATACATACAAACTTCAAAAAAATAAAAATTTACTATTTGTTAGCAACTGTGAAATGTATTAGTGCAAAAACAAGATCTTTTTCCTATTTTAAATAGATTTAATATAACTTTTTGTAAAATTGCTATTATATGTTGTCTAGGAAAATTAATAAATCAAATCTCATGCGATAGAAAAAGTGGTGACAAATAATTTAATAGCAAATAATTTATAATTTTAATCTCATATATAATAGAATTACAAGTTATCAATTAATTAAAGTACAAGCAATCTTAGTAAGCACATTGATCAATCTAGTGGTCTATTTCTATTCTTTTATATTCAGCAGTGCAAAAGATAAATGTGTATCGCGCCTATTTGCATTCTAAGTCTAATCTAACTGATGCAGTTACATACATTACATAAAGAATCATGCCGCATACGAAGAGCGAAGTAAATTAATAGCTGAAATTAATATATTTCTGCCAGCCGCCCTCGAGGCCGTTAATAAAGTATTCCAGACGGTATCGTAAGTAATTATGTACATGCGGAATTCAATTTAACGCCTTGTGGTAATTTTAAATTTTTTCTTAGTAATATTAATTTATTTATTGAGAATCGTTTTTTAATTTTATTTCTACAAGATCTTTAAAACATGAATATAATCATAATAAAATCTAGGTAACTGACATTATTTATCGACATTTTGATGTCAAAATGATATTAAAGACGTCATTTTAATGTCGAAATGACAATAAATAACATCAACTTGCTATTTGAGCAATAAAAATAATGTATATTTTTTTACTTTTTAACAGAGAAATTATTTGTTGATCTAAATATTGGAAATTTGTGATTCATTTTTCGAAAGTACTCATAAAAAGATATCAAAAGAATTATGTTTCTAAAAATTAAAATTATATAAAAGAATGTTTTGCATTAAATAAATTCTGTTCGTGTGTGTTTGTGGAAAAACTTGAAAAATTTGGGAAATAAGAAATCATACTTCGTCAGGCAACGGTTTAACATTGTCGTTGAGCAAGCGTGCAACTCGATCAACATCACCATGAGCAGCTGCCTCGCGCAACTTTTCTGCCATTCCAATCGCACATCTGTAATCAGAATAATGCATATTATTTTAAATAATAGCGAGTAACATATGCCTTGAAATTGTTTTGTAACTTTAATAAACTTATTATATTTGATGTGTTTTATTTTTTTTAAACAGCAGATCATTATTTAAACGAATTAAATCACTCTGACATAAAAAAATCTTTTTGTTTTATAAACTTAAGAACAATATATACAAATATATATACATATAAATATATATAAATAAAAATTTGTACACAATGTATACAAATATTCATTAATTAATTTGTATAAAAAACGTAAATATTCATTATAAACGCCTTTATATATTCTGCCTAAAAAAAAACTAGGAAATTTTAAAGAAAATTAATAGATCTTTTTAGAAAGTCAAAAATATTTTAATCGGCTATGTTAATACATAAATAAAGAATAAATTATAAGAGCTATATAGGGTGTCACGTAATTCATTCGTTCATAGGCAGATAGAGCGGACTAAACTGAGTCGAAAAGTCCTCTACTACCATTTTGCAATTTTCGCAATATTAGTTAACAAGATATTATTTACTAAAAATCTGATTTTTGGTCTTTAATAATTTTTTACTCAACTTTACAAAAAAACAGCAAGAGACAAAAATTGTTTATTTTCTTCTCATAAAGTTCTAAGAATTTTTTCAGAATTTTTTCAGAAGTTTTTAATTTTTAATCATATTTTTTCATGTTGGTAGAAATAAGAAAATGCAGTACTAAAAAGTTGATAGAAAATTCTGAAAAAAGTCTTAGAGTTCTCTTACTGTTTTTTTGTAAAATTGACAGTATTTGAGAAAAAAATTATTAAAGATCAATATTCGACAATTTTTAGTAATCTTGTTAACTATTGAAAGTTGCAAAATGATGGACTTTTTGACTCAATTTAATCTGTTCTACCTGTCCACGAGCGTTATTGGATGAATTACGGGACATCCTGTATTAGTGCACAAAATTATTTTAAAATAAACTTAATTTTACTTAAATAACAAATGTGTTTAAAAAATAATATAGTTAAAAAAATATAATTTTTTATTGTATTTAAATATACTAATAAAATCTATCTTATAAATTTTATAATTCGTCAAAATAAATTACTAAAAATTGATTGTATTTTCAAAGGATGTCCAAGATAGTGGAATCTTTTAAATGAACTTCACAGAATTTAAATGTCACTTTTTTACGGAGATAAACTTAACGCGTTAGAGAAGTAAACCAAGATAGCGTCTAATGGAATTCTCGTTAAGGAAAAATTAATTTTTCTTTTTTTCGAGTTAAAGAGAGTATCCGTGGGCGAAGTTTATACATTTGCAGTTTTTTCGAGTGTCCAGCATTTATTTTATCCCTTTTATTTGCATCGTATAATCCGTGTAACGTGTGGACAGTAAATTATCTCGATGCCTGGCGTGGCAGTATATGATCTAGGATCCGAAGTGCGTTCGCTAATGAGATAGACCTATACTTTCCTGACGGAGCAAGACTCGTTGTCCGTTTGTAACATTAATCTCGGTCGTGGTTATTTCTTTACAGCGACTCTCTATAACGACTCCAGAAATAACGTTGATGCGAACGATGATAGTATATGGCGAGAAAATTTATGAGCGACTCGTGGAAGTACCATGAGGCGCGAACTGATATGTAATCCAATCGAAATGAAAACTTTCCAGATAATTTTTGCATTTTTTCAACAATATACATTAAAAGATATGTACTGAGATTTTTCTCACTTCCTCCTTCTGACATATTTGTCAAGTTTACAGCGATTATAACGCTACGAGCGAGTCGAGAAAAAACGAGATGAAAGTTATAAAAAGATTTTCTGAGAGTGTTACAAATTGAAGTTTTTCCAGTTCAAAGAATCAGTTTACAATTTTAAGACAAACCAAATTACAAATTACAAATTAGTAAGTTAAATATGTGTGATTTTATTATTTACGGTGGTAATTAATTAAAAATAATAATAATATAAAACAAAAAATACAAGTCCAACAGTTTATATCACTCGATTACTAAGTTTGTATCAATTATAACGCTACAAGCAATTCAAGATAACACAATGACGTGCACGTATAAAACCCAATTTAATCTTCATCTTAAATTATTAAGACATGAGTCTTAAGTGTAACTAGGGGGGCAAGAGGACCGCGGCTAAGTCTTAAAGGAGAAAAAAAAAATTAACATCTCTTAAACCGGACTATGCTTAATGAGTATTTACATAAGAAATTGATTTTATAAAAAAAGAAAGAATTGGAGATGAAAGATCTTCTGAGACGGCACTCCAAGATGGCTAATGTTATAAATTTAAATTTTTCCAGTTTTTCCTTTCGAAAAGTCAGTTTACAATTTTAAGAGAAACATAAAATAAATTAATAACTTAAATATGTATAATTTTATTATTTATTTCAGTAATTTATTAAAAATAATAATATACAATAAAGAAACAAGTCCAATAATCATGTTTAAGAGTTTCTAATTTGGCATCCCTTCCTTAAATAAAATCCTATGCCGATGTATAATATTAAGATACTCTGTATATATATTTAGAACATTAATTTTATACGTTAATGATTTCAAGAAATGACGTTATAAACTAAGGATTAAATGTATCGATCTGAAAATATTGTAATTATATTTTCCATCATATCGTGGTCAATGATTCGATTACGTCCATGTACTTCCGCATCTCGCCCTAAAATAATGAGACGCGTCCGGACCATCCTAACTTATTCGTGTTGTAATACCGTTATGCGTCGCAGCATTACATTCAAATATCAAATGGCATACTTATACAGAGGACTCACGCTTCATCGACCTTTTAAACATAGATGGAATTACTGTGAACACATGCGTGTACGACGTTTTCCTTTATTGACTCAAGTTGTAATTTTCTAATTTGCTCTAATCGAACAATCTGTACTTGGCAAATAGACAGATGTAAATCTAAAAAAATCAGTTTTTCAGAAGAAACTAAAAATAATCGTAATCACTATTTTCAGGATAAATAAATAAATTAAATAAATAAATACAAATGAATCAGATTAGAACTTACCTTTAAAATTACTTTAGCTATTATAAATATAAAATTTCGGCCTTGACTTTTATTAGCCTTGAACGGATTGTTTATTTTTATTTAGCTATTATTATGTCAAAATAAAAAAGTAACGAACAGCAACAAGTTGAACGTAATGACTTATTAACCTACCTTTCCAATCAGAGTACAAGTCTTATATTAATTATAGTAATCAAACTATCAAAATTTTTTAAATTAAACTTATTTATTTGATGCTCTAATTTAATATTAAAATATATGCACATTATATACAGATTAACCTTATAAATCATCTCTTGGTACCAGAGTACAAATAGAATTAAAATATTTTAAACATTATAATTACACATATATTTATGTTATCTTTTTTCTTCAAAATTATAAACTACCGCTTCCTTATACATATATTCCTTATACATATTACGGACATTCCATCTTTTTGTTCATATTATCTGGATAAACGGTTTCTTATTCTCTTTGCATTCAATAAAAAGATGGAAAGGAAAAAATGCGGTTCTTTCCAATCATCCTGATTCCTATCCTCCCTCTTTTTGTAAATGACGGAACTTAACTTCGTCAATAACCGGCACTACGGCGGACGAAACCAATAATTTTATCATGTTTATTTTATATGGTGATACATCTCAAGCATCACCGTATTTCCTGTAGCGTGACCACACCGCGATATTATGACAAGCAGGATTGATTTCTGTATTTTGTTTGCATCCTTCTCAACAGAGAGCTACCCCTAAATAGATTCAATATTTTAAGTAGATAAATATTATTATTATTAAAATAAATTAAAATTCATAAGACACTGAAAAATTATCGTATAAACTTAATTTGCGTATTTTTTTTATTCATTTAAAGTCATTTTTAGCAAAAATGTGATTGACAGTTATTCTTTTTATTTTTTTAATTTTTAAAATATTTTGACGATTCAGTATTATATTAAAATTCTTTAACAAAATGCATTGCTAATTAAATAAAAAGTAAATATTTATAATTAATAACAATTGTGAAAACAAGGAATCCACATTCCTTCTTATAATTCAAGAAAAAGAAATTTTTCAAAATCATTTATACAAAGACTTATTTTTTATTGCTTTTAAATTTTCAATGTAATAACTAAAAAATTATAAATTAAATATTTTTTATAATTTTTTTATAATAAACGAAGCAATAATAATTCTAAAATATTTTACAAGTTTTTAACGGCACGATTGGAAGGTATAGAATTTACAGCGTTTCTAAAAGAACTTGTTTAAGAGAACGGTCCTATCTGCAAGATCATCAACGGCAGCTTAACGAAATCGCTGTCACGTTTCCAATCAACCTAACGACTTAATACTATGCCAATTGATATCAAGATCGATATTGATTATTATCCAGCAGAAAGCGCGTTGTTAATTGAAGAAAAAGATTTTAAAGAAAACCGATCTCCGTTATTAATGATTATACGCATCAGCTGTCTTGACAAAAGGAAAACGAATAATATTTACACATTAGTTATATTGTTTCTCTCTTTTTTTTCGAAAATGATAATAAAATATAGTATTAACGGAACATGCTACGCATGAGTTTAAGTTTTTTCACAAAATATTTTATTAAAAAAAAAAATATATATATATATACATACGTATGCTATTTAAAAAAGCAATCTTTCATTACACGATTTAATTAAAATTTTAAAATAGACAATAATATACATTTTATAGCAATAATATACATTTGCAATCAAAATAATTTACAAATTTGTTATCTAAAAATATATTTACACACACAAAAGTTTGACATTTTTTGTTCGTGAACTAGAATAATATCTTGTTATTTAATACATTACATTATTTTATTTGAATAATATTTTTTATAAAAAATGGAAAAAAATATTGTAATAAAAGTTAAATTGTAATAAAATTATTTTAAAAATTATAACATTACAAGAAAAGGTTCCTGAAATGTTCATATAATTATTTTGACCGTTAATTGCTCAATTGTTTAATAAAAAGATTCTTATTGTTCGCATTTAATTAAGATATAATTTTATACGCGTACGATTGTTAGCGACACGAAAGATACATATACTCCGGGCTTTCAATGTTGCGCGCACACCCTAACTTGGAAAAATACATGACAATTATCTACTCGCCTCGCTGGCTTCAACCGAACCGACCGTCCTATCTCGCATATTCTTGCACATTTCGTCCATTATCTGGCATTATAAAAAACGATTCCATATCATAATGACGGCCGAGTCCACTTCATCAGAAAATTAAATGCACAAATTACATCTGACCTCTTATTTTGCTGCAAACCACTTTGTGGTTTGCAGTAAAATAACTAATAATTTAATCTAAATAATAGCAATGTTGAGCACATATTTGTGTATATATTATAAAAAAAGAGGAGTCACAAATAAAAATGCTTAGATTCTAAATTCAAGTGTCATATTCGTTTGAATATAAAGAAATTATCCATGAATTCGAGATGAATTTAATTAATAATGTTAATAAGAAATATTTTATAAATTACTTATAGACATTGAAACTCGACTTATATATTAGATTTAAACGAGTTACCCTTACTAGTTTCCCTGACGAAAGTTCTTAAAATTCTCTTTACATAATTTCTTCATATAATTAAATAAAGCTGAAGAAGCTCAAGGTTAAAAATCTTCGTAAATTTAAAATATAAAAAATTCTTAAAAATATCATGAAAGAGGATTTTATCTCACAGCCTTGTTTTATTCCGAAGTACACAAACTTGCCTTTATTAATATCAGTTAACAATATAATTGTATATATTATTACGATTATTGGATAATTTGTTTGTGGCGCGCAGCATTGTTGGATGGATAGTACCGGCGCCGCCACGTGTGAACATACACGTACAACCATGTGTGTACGAGCAAATACTTGCGTGTAACTCGCGCGAAACCGGTATTTGCGCCTTCTAGTAAAACTTTACGTGAATATACAGAGTGCTTCAGCAAAGCTTATAAGCATTAAAGGCGAAATTCTGAACGCAAGCGCTGATAAAGCACATGTACGAACTCTAAAGATTATTATTCTAAAGACTTTTAGAAATTAATATAAACTATTAAAAGTACAGAAATTTTCGCAAATCTGTAGGTGAAAGATTATATTTATAAATTTCTTTTTTTTTAATATAATTATTTTTTATTTAATAAATGTAAGAAGATATGTAAGGAGATAAACATAGAAGATAAAGAAAAATTATAAAATGTAAAAACACAGCATATTTAATTAAATAAGAAGAGCTTATTCTAACAAGAAATTTTTCGCTTGTTGGATGCTTTCTCATTATAGGATATGAACAAACAGAGCTTTTTAATATATTTCGCTGTGACCATTACACGCCCTTACCGCTCACAAAGGCTCACAAATACACTTACCGGCCATATACGCTTATCCAGAGGGCGTCGCTTGCGAAAGTAATCCGTAATCCGTATTGAAATCCGTTGGATAGTCTTTTGCAAAATTTACCTCCAAGCGAAAAGCATAAAGGCACACATTGCTTTATTTTATTACACTCCGAATGAACTATTACACAAAGACTTAATCTTCTTGCCGATATCACGCAGCACAAAAATCATTAAACACCAGATATAAGGGATCATCATCAATGTAATACTTGGTCCGAAGAAATTTAACTTGAAACAAAATTATTTATTACAAAAGCATTCTACGTCTTTTAATGTTGGAATTTAATGAAGAAGATAGAAGATCCGTTATAGAATTCTGTAAAAAATAATATTACTATTATCTCAGAATTAGCTTAAAACAAGTCAGTGATTTCAATTTAATGAATTAATTTCTCATTTCTTGTGCATAAAAATTTATCCTTTTCAGTATAATTTGTAAGATATAAATCTATATTTAATCCATATTTAATTTTCAGGTAATTACAACAATGGAACTTGAAGTGATAAATCATTAAGAATTTTCACATATATAAATAAATTCGCACCTATATAAATAGTTTATTAAAGTTTTTTATTAAACTATGAATAATTATTATTATTTATAGATAACTGTAAATCTCTAGATATTTTTATCAAATATATTAATATAAAGTATTATTACTCAAAAGTATAAATCATTCATATTTACTGAAACGTTATAATTGATGTTATAATATGAGATCTTTTTTACTTTTCCTGACTCTATTTTTCCCTCCTTTCTTTAAAATTATTCGTAAACCAACTAAAAGCTATGTTATAAACAAAATTTTAACAAATCATATTTTACGCTCAATCAAGATTCCCTCTATTTGCTGAAGATTTCAATGCCTGTATATTCAAATCGATTGCGTTACTAGAACACATTTTATAGAATTTTGCAAAAAATTTTGATTTTCCAAAAATTTTCACTTTTATGCCTAATAATTAGCAATTAACTGAAATAAAAACTTTATTCAACACACACATGTAAAATATTCTTTCTAATATATTTTCTGCAATATGTACGGTAGAAATTCCGCGTGATCCGTCGGCAGTAATTCTGTACTATTTTCAAACAATAATCTATTCTTTAAATAAATCTTGTTATAAATTTAATTTTTTTCAATTTTACAATTAAATATTTTATGCAGCAACATAAAAACACACAAAAAATTTTAAAGTCTACAATTTATACTGATTCAGTAAAAAAATTGCATTTTGTCATAATCGTTTTACAAGACTCTTTCTACTGCTTGGAAAAACTTTAAAACAGAATTTAGTTATCTATATCTAAATAACACGCTTCATGATTGTTTTGATACGAATAATTTCAAGTATAATTATCGCTGTATTTGTTCACTTTTATTGCAATAATTATATCTTCAGGATTATATAAACAATTTATTGAGTTTAAAATCTTGAAAAATTTTCTACAATTACATTTATGATTCTTTAATCTCACTCTGTAATCACTTTCTATAAATCGTTTCCATTTTCTCCCTCAAATTCCCGACATTTTCAACACAAAGATCATTTGAAGCTATATATACGAGTACACGCGCGGATCTACGAGTACATGCACGATCTCTCTTGAATTGTTTCACTTTTAATAGTACACTTTGACTTGCAATATACGTTACATCGACATTTACTGATATAATTAATGTTTCAGTGTGCACTTTGGAATGGACATATTCTTTTGATCGGAAGACTCGAAAAGGCGGCCGCATCGAGACTGGTCGCGTCGAGAGAAAGCTGCAACTCGCGAGCGAGTAGTTCTTCAGGAACCCAGTTCAGTACCGTCGCAAGTTATCGACTTCATAAGATCTAAATGAAAAAATAGGAAATAAAAATAATATAATAAAACAGTATTTAATTAAATAATCTAACAAAAAATAATTTCCAAACTTTATAAAATTTTATTGTAAATTATCGATACAAATTAATACATCTATATTTCTGCTGACATAAAGTCAATTAGTATATCCGTTATATAAAGTCAATTAATACGTTTTTTTATTTTTAAATTTACATTTAAATATACATGCATATTTTTTTACATAATTTACGGATTCTATCCAATTAATAAATCACATTCAGACTATCATAAATCTAAAATTTTAATTTTATCAGAAAAATATTATTATTCTGCATTTAAAATAGTATTATTCTGCATTTGTATGAATTATATGTAACACAAATGAAATATTTTTGCTTATATCGTTTAAAGGTACTATTTGAAATATTAGGTAATTAGATAAAGGCGATAAAAATTATTGTAATACCCCAACAGCACAAAAATTGCAGCAATATGTAATATTGTTGCAACTTTTGTACTATTGAGATATATTTTTGTATTTTTATTGCAATATCATCTAATAATAGAATCTAAAATCTTAGATAATAATTTCGATGGACTCAGTAAAAATATATTTCCATTTTTTACAATAATTGATGATTTTCAATAAAACTAATTACAATGCAAAAAACAACATTATGCATTGTTTAAATAACTGGGTATGTATTTTATTTAGATATAGGTAACTAAAAGTTTGTTATGAGCCAGCACTGACCACTGCTATCGGAGCAATGGCCCTCCTTCCACCTTTTCGCGCTACAATAACCGGACTATATCCTGGCCATAGTGGAAGAAACTCAGGTGTCTTCTTGCGCATACATTTCTAACAGCCAATGAAAACGTGACACCATATACTGCCATGTTGTCGCGGTTATTTGAATTAGGTGTCTATTATTTTACTTATTTTTGTGTTTTAATTATGTTTGCTTATAATATATAATATAATAAATTTGATTTTATCCTTTGCCATAATAAATTTTTCATAAGCTTCTTTCTATTTTAATATTAATGCTTTCGTTTTTAGGAAGCGACAAAAACTTTAATAGCACAAATCTCCATGTCCTTTGAACATCCTAAGAACACCCCCAGAATGTGTCCCGGATAAAGTGTGTTATTAGAGAATGTATATACCTGAATTCTTTTTGATGATCATTTTTATATTTTTTTTATTTAGCAAGTACTCATTTAATTTTGATCTTTTAAACTGTATCATTTCACAATTACCGCGGTGCAAATGTTTAAATGGTCGCATTTGGAATCTGCATGGAAAAGTATAAAATTCGTCTCGAGAATACCTGAGTTCTTTCTATAGACATAATATAATTTTATGGTACTTCCACCATGATCCTGCAGATCATACTATGAACCTGTTATGTCTTGACCAACAACATAACTAATGCGATGACATTAGAATCGAAGTTTATTCGCATGTAAAAAAAAATTTATGTGACCTCTCCTTTTAAAAGTAATTCTGCAAATAATAATTTATTATATATAAAAAATATATATATTATACTTTTATATATTGTATTCATAATATAAATATGTATAAATGTATATATGTATATATGTATAGTGCAAAGGAAATTTATTATTATATACATATTAATTTCTTAATTATAAACTATAAATTAATAATTTGAAATATTTAATTCTTGCAGTAATAAACGAAATATTCAACTCGAAAAATTTAATATTAAATGAAAAGATACAAGATCGATTACGAAGAAACAACTAACGAAAGATCGCCGTGAAATGCAGCAATATCCGAAAAACAATTTCAAAGCAATAAAATTTGCTCATAGTGTACCATGGAAAAAATTTTTATTCTAGCATGATTTTGGCTTCATGTCATAAAGAAAAATTTGAAGTAAAAATCAACTTTTAATAAAAATAATATTACAACAAAAAATAATTAAAATAAATAAATATATAATAATAATAATAATAATATGTATATAATAATATAATATAATGAAAATAATATAATAAAAAAATGTACGTTATTTCTAATACAAATCTTGATCAAAATTATGGACGCTGCACAAATTAGCGACTGGGTATGTTAATTTAGATATTCTTGATTTTTTATATTTTGATGTAAATCGTCCTGTATTTTAATATCATATTACTTTAATCCCCCTACCCCCTCTCTGTCTCGCTTTCTCTCTCTCTCTCTCTCTCTCTCTCTCTCTCTCTCTCTCTCTCGCTTTCTTTCTTCTTCTTCCTGTTTTTCAATTATTATAAACATTAAAAATTACATTTGATATGATAAGTATTATATGTAATATTATTATATTACAATATTTATTTTAAGTATATACCAATAATGTATATACATTAATTATATTTATATACACAATACAAAATTTGTTTAGAAAAATATTAACTAAAATTTTATCAAATTAATTAATTATTTTATTATTTTAATAGGTAATTATTTAAATTACATTAATTGCATCAATATATGTATATAATCACGTTATATATGTGTAAATATATAAATAGAAATGTATTACATATATGCATATGTATATTTATGTTATAGAAGACATAAACAAGACATAAAATGCAATTAAAATGGAAGATAATTAATTACTTCAGTATGGAAATTTTCCAAATTATAAAAGCTTACTCTCTTCTCTGTACTACCACTATAAAATTATATTCTCAAGCACAATGAATTTTAGAAAAGTTCAAAATAGATCAATCTTTTACAGTATAAAATTGTAAGTTCTTTTTTATTAATAATATATGTCTTTTATCTTTCTTCTTATTAATATTTTTCTTTATTTTCTATATTTGTTCCATTTTTGTTTATGCATTTTTTTTTATATTAAAAAGATATTTTTTTATATTTAAAGAGATATTTAAAATATGCAATATATTATTCTATCTTATAGAGGCTTCCACACAGACTTGAAGATGGCAAAATAAAAATTACAGTTCCAAAAAACTAATTTAACAATAGCACATTATCCTTTTAATATTAATTGAACAATTAAAAATAACAAACTTAAAAAAGCACAATAAGGAAATGAGTAGAATTTGTTCAATTCCCAACTATCCTAATAATAAAAACTATAAAAATTCTAAAATTATAAATAGGATTCATAAAATTGAATACATAAAAGGTATTATACAAGGTATTATACAAGATTTGGAAAACTATGGTCCAGCTGGCTTAATACACATCGCTATTTTAAGTGACATAATCCAAAGACCTATCAAGATATGGAATGCTAATGGTAGTTTAAACAAAATAATTGGCAAAAAAAAAACACGACATCCCATAGATATTGAATATCATGTGATCAGTTCGGAAGGAATAGGTAAGAGTCAATTAAATTTTAAAAAGAGTTTAAAAAAAGAGCCAATTGTGAACCAAGTTTAAAATTTTTCAGGTTTTATAAGACATTTTAAAATAGTTTCACAAAATTTTTTTAGTCCAATTAGAATAAAATCGAAAATTAATAGAAAACAATATGTATTTTTATGTTTCGAATATCAATTTCTATTTTAATTTTAACTTTATTTTTCTCTTAATATAACTTTTTTTGAAGAACAATATGAAACGATACGAATTTAGATTAATGAGAATAATTCTAATTTAAAAAAAGAGAAATTCTATATTCAATCAAATGAATCTTAGTGCTTAAATATTTCTGTGTAAATTTATGGATATAATATCTAATTCTGCAAATTGCGCGCTGAAATCTTTTTCAATCTTAAAACGCATTAGGAGCAGAACTAGATAGTAATATCACTTTATTAAATCGACAACAAACAATTTAAGTTTTTATGTTAATAAACATCTTTAAAAAAATATTAATAATAAAATTTTAGAGAATCTAAATCTCTACAAATAATGTTATTGCAAAAAATATTATGTCAGCAAGGGTTTGAACTTTGAATTTAAAATTCCCAACTTTCTGGGACTCATACTACCACTACTTTTTTTTTGAAGAATTACGATTTTAATAGCTTATGTCAAAATTTTTGCAGCCTTTTTGGATAATTTTATCATATTTTAGTACAATCCCAGTGAGAAATGGCAATAAAATCGATGTCGAATCGACGTCGATAAATGATTGATCAATTATTATATGGTTTTTTCTTTATAAAAATGTTCTATTCCCTTATTTCTTCTTATACTTTAATATACTTGCATACGTAATTAAAATGTTTTAAAGTCGACAGTTTACACACGTATGCGTATTTTATCCCACTTTCCGTTCAAACTTTTCTAATCATTCTCTAGGTCATTGGACGTTAAGAGGAGAAAAAGATCCCGACAATGTTATCGTTGACTTAAATAGCTGTCTTTTTTCGGTGATCGGTTCTCAAATCGGACAGGATCCATTAAAACTTCGTAAATGGACACAGCTAAAATTGAAAGTCAACTTTCAGAATTTGGTCAAATGGATAGATAAGACCCTCCAGTTGGAGGGAAACGATAAGACAATCTTGATGATTGGTGGGGCTCGTTACATAGGAAAAACTCCTGAAGACGCTAAAAATCTTTTAGATAGATCACACGATGTGCCAAGTAAAGTATGTGAGTAGGTATAGATAATGTGCCAGGACGATCCCAATTTCATCGAGACATTCTCGTTTTCAAAATGTTTGTCCAGTTCTCCCGCCGAACATATTAAATGTCCCGATTTTAATAAAAAGATCCCGCTGAAAAATATTTAAAATTTTTTTTCAAATTGTAAAACAAAACATGTATTATCGTTTCCAAAAAAATATGTAATGCAGTTGAACGAGTTATCTCTGCAAAAGCAAAGTGTAAACAGTGAAAAAACAATTCTTTGTTTGAATTTTAAAAGCCGTATTAATAACAAAAATCAATTTCGTTATTTTAGTTGCTAAGAATTTCATACATTTTTTAAGCATTCACTTTCATTATTAAACCGGATAATTTCAAATAATAAATATAAATAATTGTAGGTAAAACTGTATATTACTCACAACCTCACCGATTTCAATGACCTTTAGTCATTACTCTGAGCCACTTCCAATAAATTTTAACCATCGTTATTCGTTAAAAAGTTATTAACGACAAAAGTTTAAAAAATAACGTCTTTTTTCTGCATATGAAATAAAAATGTTCTGCTTTAAAATATATCTTATGACTTTCTACGTAAAGCAAATTCCATCCCACCTCCCCCCTTGCCAAGGAATATACGACTTTCCGCGTGAAGTTTCACTCCATCTCTCCTCCTCTGCTTTAGGGGCGTACTTTCCAATTTCCACGCAAAGCGACTCTCACCCCACCTCCCCCTCTGAGGGCACACTACTTTATTTAAAACATATCATGTATTAAGAGTAAAGCTATAGTATACATGTATATTGCGAATAACGAGCGACAGTTAAAATTCATTGGAGGCAACTCAGGGTTATGACCTTGACAATATATGTTAAGGTAATATGTAGTTTTACTTAAATGTACAATATTATTTTTAAGAAATAAATTACTACTGTTGTATTTATCTGTATATTCATATATTCATCCCTTCGCTCCCGCTTAATAATAAAGTTATCCTACTTTAGATTTGAAAATTTCTTATCATTTTAGATGTCGAAAGATGTCCAAAAGCTTTTCCTATAAAAGGCCATGCTAGAATGCACGCTTCACATAATGAAGAAGACAAATATGGAAGAATTGAGGATTATTCTAAAGAAACGCGGAAGACTGGTTTTCAATCAAGAAGTGATATGGATTTTGTCGCTCATTTGACATTGACAACAACAACTGCTCAAAAGTTTATGAAAGAACTCAACAAAGGCCGTTTGGCAAAAAGGATATACATACCTTTTGATATTTTAGAAGAACAAAGAAAGAAGGCAGATTTTAAGGATCCCTTACCTTTAGTAAGAGAATGGAAGGATGGAAAGTTTGACTCATGTCAATTGAAAATTGATAGTGTAGCATTAATATTGGGTCATTTCGAAGAGAACCATCAAAAGGAAGAGGATGTTTGTATATTTACGTTTTATCCGATATTGGAGAAAATTACGTTCTAAAAGAAAACATGTGAGATGAAGAAATCAGAGAGAATTACGTTTTAAAAAACGAGATTCAAAAAATTAAAAAGAAAATTCAAACTATTAGATAGCAAAATGTCAACAATTTGTCGGTAAATTGATAGCAAATTCGATCAGATTTCTACTCTAGATCTATAGCAATCTGTGTACGCATTAAGCTCAGGATCTGTAGACAGTCTACTGATATATTATGCAACAGCAGTTTGAAAACAGAAATTGAGCAGGTTTTGTGTTCAGCAGACTAGCAGAAGAAACTGAGGATTTGCAGATCTGCCAATTTGCTGGCAAAGCATATCAGTAGGTTTTCTCTTATTTTTGGCGGTAGTTTGTACCGACGTTGTCAGATATTACAGATTGTAAAATTTGTTACCTCTTTGTCATCAGAAATTGGTAGCATACTTTGCTAAAAATCTGTCTCTGCAAATTTAACTATCTGGATAATTAATAAGAGAGATAGGCATTTATTTTATAAATAAATCAAGTTCATTAAAAGCCTAATTTAACTATCATCTGGATTTCCTACTTTCTATTTGCATACTGCAAATCTTATATATATATTTTTTTTTTATTTTTTTATTTTAAGAACAATTTTATTGTCAAAAAATACAATTATATGGGACAAATTTTATGTCTATTTTTTAAATACATTTGCAATAATAAGAGGATGTTAAATAACAGAGATTTGTAATGATTTATATCTTGTACCGAACTATCTAAGGTATTTAATAGATTCTCAATTATGGTAATAATAATTTTAATTTCCGCTTCACAAATATCCGAATGATTAACAATCTCGTGCAGCCAAGGAAGTATGCCATATCCTCTTGCAAGGAGTAAGGATGCTTTGGGAATTTTAGTAGTAGAGGCGATGACTTCCAAAATTAATTTCTAAAAAAAAGTTTATATCAATATTTAAATAAATAATACGAACATTTTATAATAAAATTTATAATGAAGAAATATCTTCTTTTCAGATTAAATCCACTTAATTTATTTTAGTAAGACCCGATTGCACCAACTTTTTTTTACTTTAAGCAAAGCTTAAAACTCTCTCTGTCTCTCTTTCGCTTTAAAACGAGACGGAGAGAGTTTTAAGTCTTGCTTAAAGTCAAAGTAACGTTGCAATCGGGCCTAATACATAAACAAGTCATTAAAAATCAAGACTGCTGCTTGATATTCAAATTTTTAATTCAAATTTTTGATTCATTACAATCGAAACTCTTTATTGTTAATTCAGCCAAATAAATTCTCTATTCTTAGTCTTTTCTTACAATTTTTCCTCCAAAAATACATGCACAAAATAAAAATATTGTATTAACGAATTATTGACAATTAAGATAGTGATTACGATTTTCTTTTTTAAAGTTTCTCATTTTACATAATTATCAATTACATTATTATCTATTACATAATCATGTAGCTAATATAAAATAATGAGAAAGTATTAAGCACAAGAGAAACTGTTAAGAATATAAAAATTTAAAGAATTAAAAAATGAGAAAATATTAAGAATAAGGATATTAAAAATAAGGATGTTAAGAATAGAAATTGTCAATTGTATGTCATATCAAATGAAAGATTAACTCACTTTGGTCTTGGCATCCGACAATACGCAAGTGTGAAAATCAAGAAGAATTTTGAACAACATGCATTTCAAAGCCACGTTTACGTCGTTATCTCCCTTCATGCCATCTCGGATGTTCTCCAAAATCCAATACCGATGCGCATTATGCTCTACATGCGAGCTGTGCAACAACTGTAGTAGCTCCGGTATGGTATTTAGGTCCAGACCGATTTTGGCCATTAGAAAAGTGTGTAACGGCGAATAAAGAGGGTGCAGAGGTTGAGTGGCGATTAAGGAGGCTCTAGCTAAGAAGGTAGTCATTAGACAACTCAGGCGGACATTCTTCAATTGGCATTTTAAGGAAAAAACTCCATTCCGTAAAGCATCAATTAAACGTATCCATAATAACTTTTCTTTAGACCTGGTAAATAAGGAAATTGATTTTTTAATGAATTATTTTAATCCCCACCAGAATTTATTAAAAGAAAAGTATGCTTTTATGTGGTAATCAATTGAAAAAAAATCGGCATTTTTAATATAAAGCTCAGAGATGAGTCTCTAAATTAAAATCACAAAATTATATTGGTAAAAAAAAGTAGTCTTAAAAGAAAAATCAATTATATATATTAGATTGACAAGAAAAAATTTTTTTTTAATCGGCCTCTTAGTCCAAAAGCTTCCATTTCATACCAAAAGAACATCCCTAAATTTTTATCAAAAAATATTAAGCTTTAGAGGTCGCTAGTAAACGATTTTTAAATCAAAGTTTCAATTTTCCTTAATACATGTTTGATTTAATGTAAAAATAGTTCAATCCGGATTTTGAATATATTACTGTATGTTTTTTTGATTACTGTATGTTTTGGTTGATATTGCTGAACGCAATACAATAATTCATTTAATTCTACGATGTATATATGCCTTAAGAAACACAGCTCAATTAATGCGAAAAAAATGACGAAATTTCGAATTCAAGGTCGATTTTAGCAAGCGTTCATCAAATGAGTCGTCACTCCCCTCAAATTGTAGATCTGTTCACCCAGAATAAGATTCCAATTGGAATCCCGAGACCTCTTTGATCTTTAAAAATTGCATTTAACTGGATTATAAAACGTGTTTAAGGATACAAAAATTTTTTTACAAATTCTAAAGTATATCACCTTATGGTTTTGACATTTTCAAATCAAATGCCTCGATCACGATCAAAAAAACTATTTATTAGAAAATAAAATGAGTATATAATATAAAAGATATGATTTATTGAAATAAACTACATAATATGTAATTTATTTCAATTAATTAAATCATATGTTTATTATGTACTCATTTTCTAATAAAAAATTTTTTTATTGTAAAATTGAAGCATTTTTTTTGAGGATGTCCAAACCACAAAGTGATATATTTTAGAACTTGTAAACAATTTTTCTATTTAAAATGTTTTATAATATAATATTATAAATTAAATGCAACTTTTAAAAGTTCTGTAGGTTTCGGGAAAATTTCAACTGAACCTTGTTCTAGGTGAACAGACCTATAATTTAAGGGGAATAATGACCCATTTAAATGCTTGGAACCTTGCTGAAATCGAGCTTATAAACTCGAAATTTGATCATTTTTTTTACATTAATTGGACTGTATTTTTTAAGGTGTATATCGTAGAGTTAAATGAATTACTGTATCATGTTCAGCAATCAAAAAACATCAATACTATATTTGAAATCCGGATTAAGCTATTTTTGCATCAAATCAAACATGTATTAAGGAAAATCATAACTTTGATTTAAAAATCGTTTACTAGACCTCTAAATCTTAATATTTTTTTATAGAAATTTAGGATTCTTTTGACATAAAATGAAAGCTTTTGAGTTGAGAGGCCGATTAAAAAAATTTTTTTTTCCTTGTAAGTCTAATATATATAATATAATCAAAGATAATTAAATAAACTAAATTTAAAATTTAATATTAAACTGAGTAATTAAATTATTAACAAATAAACTAAATTATGACAAATAATAAAGTTCTATATATTCTATAGAAGACTATTATTTATCATAATGTATGTACTGATTTCATTTTCTTGTTAATTATTAAAATTGCTACTTACTTGGATGCTTCCAAATGAAAGTAATATCTAGAAATAATAGTATATGCTATCATCCGAATATCGTTCGAATCACTGCAACATGCAGCAAGTACTAACGCCAATGCACCACTCTGGCTCACTTTATAACACGCAACAATATTATTTTCTGCCAATAAAGTACACAGCAATGGCAGATAAAATGCTGGATCATACACATTATTCTTGTGTATATATAATTCATTACTCTGAAAAAAGACAATAGAGAGAGAATAGAAATTTTCTTCAAAGATAAAATAAAAATCTTACGTAAAGTCCTATAAAGTATATGATTCTATTCATTTTTATGGGCTAGTAGTTTTTATAAATATCAAAAATGTATTATTAAAAAAAAAAAAAAAGATTGTACACTAGAGAATATTTTTAACTGTAAAATCTAAAATTTTGAGACCAGTCTTATAACAAATATTTAGGTCACTTACTTTCATAGTTCTGTGTATAGGATAATTTTTTATAGTCTCATTGACAATATCGTTATTGAACAAGTTAAAGACTTCGGAAGTGGAAGGTTGTCTCCACAATGCAGTATCCGTCTCTCCCTTTACACTGTAACGTGTTGCTGCGGCACTCCCCCACAAATATGGCCAGTACTGTTGAAGCTTAACATTATGAGTTTCATAATACTGGAGAATCTGAAAAAAATTACAATTAACTAATATTCCTTTAACAGCACGATAATCCCGATATATATCGCAATTCTTACCTGCAAAATACGCTGATCTACATGGCAAAGGGTAGCGTTGTAAGCTGCGAGATAAAGAGGTATGTGCGAAACAGTCATTACAGAATGATTCTTTCGAGTAAGTATTCTTAATAATTCGACCAGATCGCCTACAGTCATAAAATATTTAAATAAAGATTAAACTTGTCTATATGTAATGGTATATTCTTATAAGATGTTATATAATATTTTATCGTGAGAATTAAGGCTGATTTTGGGATGACATAATTACAATCTGCAGAAAAATATATACTTTTTAACAAATAAATATAGCTTTCTACATATTCCTTCCAAATAATACACACTGTGCAAGTAAACTCACCTTTAACAAAGGATGACCCAAGCATAATATTAACAAACTCTGAATGAGACGTCGTCATTTCAAACAACGTCTTCACATATTCATTATCAATATTATCTCCATAAGCAATATCACATAAATTGCTCAGGGTTTTCAATATATTAGATTGAGTCGCCTCGTCTTTAGCATCTTTTAGACCTAACTTTAATGAAAATCTGGTAAACTGCGGCCACGAGTAACTCTTGCTCAATGAACTGAAGATCAAGTTATCTTCCATCTCTTTCAAACGAATCACTACATCGTTTAGCTTCCCGCATAAGATTTTGATCTTCTGTAGATTTTTTGATTCCTTTTTTAACGTCAATGTCATTATATGCAGTAATACTCTTATTAGATCCATCAAAAGTTTCTCTTTAGTCGTTACTAAAGTTTCGTATCTCTTATATACACTTTCTAGCAGTTGCACGAAACAAATGGACACCATATCCAACTTGTCGCCGTTCTGAGAAACGGTGTTGCAGATTCTCCCACACAGAGCAAGATCGAAAGTGTTTTCAATTAGGTAAACGATCGCTGCTACATTTTCTTCGATCCAAGGAACGGGATTTCGTGACTCGGTTATATACGCGGCAATGTCGCTGCCGTAATGCTCATAGAGACTTTGAAGAAACTTTTCATTCCATTTGTATTTTAAACTGCTGCCCAATATGGGAAACACAATGTCCCTTTGCTTCACATTTTCTATCTTGAGGAAGTACTTCACCAGCGACGAGATCAGCCTA